TCAGTTCCAGAAATCTATATTGTATGATTGATTCACTCATTGTTCCCATGGCTGCCTCTTGTCGCTGCCAATGCCCACCCATTGTCCCCATTGAAGACATTGTGATTGTAATAGCCTACCCATTGTCCCCATTGTCCCCATGGCACCCTCCTGTAGCTGCCCAACTCACATGGTACCCATGGCTGTATAACTCTTTCTATAAAATTCATCTAACTCCCACCTTGAAAAAAATGCTGATGGCAGCCAGTCTGTTTACCTGTGTGCTCAATAAATTTTGCTGCTGAGAGAATCATGATGGCAGAATAGGGTAAGGACACGTTTAATCAGATGGAGAAACATTTAATCAGGATGAGGCAGAGAGGACATATTTCAGGAAATAGGAAAGCACAGAACAACACCAGAGATATCCTGGAAACTGACAGACACAGGAAAGCAGCAGGCACAGCAGTGTGATGTTGCAGTGAATGATACTCCAGCACATCGATCTCAACTCCAACAGCAGCCGGAACTCCACCAGCAACCAGGTGGGAAGGGACTTTCACTGGGAGCTTGGGTGGTGAATCCAGACTAAAAAATGTCTATCCTGCTGGTCTGATTGATCTGACCAGGAGCAGAGACAGAGCAGCAGATCTCAGACGGGCAGTATGAGAAAAGGGTGGATTTCATAGCCTAGTTAGCCCCCTACGGCTGAATTCGGCGCAATTTTGCATAAAGAGGAAGGGGAAAGGACAGAGCATGCTCTGAGCTGGGAGTGAGCTCATTTCTGACTCTGTGAACTGCAACGACGTGGTATTCTACAGGTTCCACCCAAGAGAGGTTTGGGTAGCCCTCAGATCTGACGGTAAGTAGATTAAGAACTGAAGTAGTGGTACATCAGGCACCATTTTGTGCACTGTAGCAATAGCTTTGTGACTGCAGGGGACAACAGTGAACTGCGCATGTGCTGAGCTCGCAAGAACTCGTTGTGGTTCCGCAGAAAAATAATACCGACTGTGGCATCATACAGGTCAAAATAGGTCCGTGTGGCACCCAGAGCTAATGTCCAACAGGTTCCGACAAGATCAGCACCACCAACAAAATAACTAGATAGGACACCTGTTGCCAATCTAATTCTGGGAGCCATGAGCTGGTGTTGTGGAGATCATGGTGGAAATCTGACATAAGAACCCAGACCTGGAACTCGCTGGAGGTTGTGGCACAAGTGACTACAATAGAAAATAGTGTACCAATTGCAATAAGTAAAATCGCATTGTAGACCTGTGGGTGACACAGCTTAGAAACCTGCCCCAAGGAGAAGACTCTGCTAACCAGAAGTACAATGATCAAGAGCAAAAGAAAAGACAAAGGCACAATGAATATTACTGAGCACTCCCCTGCAAAGGAGCAAAACCCTATGCCAACCTCAGAGTTAACTGAGGAAGACATCGAGGAAGTGGGGGACACAGAATCCATCAGACTCATTTTGAACATTCTGGTCAAAAATGAGAAGCTCATGCAAGAGTTCAAAGAATTTAAGGAAGCAGTAAAGGAAATCAAGGCTGGTATATCAGAAGTTAAGAACACAGTAGAGCAAATTACAAGTACAGTGGAGAGTCTCCAAAATAGAATGAAGCAAGCAGAAGAAAGAATCTCAGATTTGGAAGATATCTCAGGTCACCAGGGGGAAGCAAACAAAAAGCTGGAAGCAGAGCTGGATCAGGCCAAAAAAAGTATTCAAGAATTGAAAGACACTATTAAGAGGCCAAATATAAGAGTTATGGGAGTCCCAGAAGGTGCAGAAAGAGAAGCTGAGTTTGCAAATGTATTTAATGAAATAATCAAGGAAAATTTCCCTAATCTGGAGAAAGAATTGGGAAACAAGATCCAGGAGGGACACAGAGCTCCCAACAGGCTTGATCAAAAGCGATCTTCACCAAGACATATGATTATCAAACTTTCTTCAATTGAACATAAGGAAAAGATCCTTAAATGTGCACGTGAAAAAAAATCAATTGACATATAAAGGAATGCCAATTAAGCTCACAGGAGATCTCTCACAGGAAACTCTACAGGCAAGAAGAGAATGGAGTGACATATTCCAGATTCTAAAAGAAACAAATTGTTGGCCTAGGATAACATACCCAGCAAAGCTTTCTTTCATCTTTGAAAATGAAATAAAATTCTTCCACTGTAAAGAAAAGCTAAAAGAATTTGCCTCTTCCAAACCTGCCCTACAAATGATACTTCAAGAGGTTCTCTTGACAGAGAAGAGGAATAGCACCTACCAAAACCAAAGGCAAATGGAAAGAACATCCAAGTAAAATGACAACAGTAGACTCAACCAATGAACAACCCATTCCTAAAACTCAACCCATTCCCAACCAAAGTACCACGCATGTATGTTTAACTCTGAATGTAAATTGCTTAAGCTCAATCAAACATCATAGATTAGTAAACTGAATTAAAAAAGCCATCCGTTTATTGTCTGCAGGAGACATACTCCAACAAAGATCAGTGGAGACTCTATCACATGAGTTTTGTTGTTTTCTGTTGGCTTCATCTCTTCAAAAAACTTTCTTCTGATTAATCATTTAATGACTCGTAGATCATGCAGTGGCATCATTTTCTTCAAGAAGGTTCTTGATTTTCATTTTTTTCAGCTACACGTTAGTATATTTATAGTAGAGTATAGTATATTTAATAGCATGTTGTTTAACTTCTTGGTGTTGCTAATTTCTTTTTTCTCTCGTATGTTGATCTTGTTTTGTGGCTCTTCATTTAAGGGAATGTATAATAGTTGTGTAGTCAAGACTGTCATATCTATTAATATGTCATTTAACTTTATGGCATTATAAATTTCTCTTTTTCTTTCTATTGTTGATTTTGCATTATAACTTTTCATTTGAGGGGATGTACAGTAGCTGTGAAATGGAGACTAACATCCAGATGTGAGGATGCAGTGTTGTATGCTTTTATGTTTCCCGACAAAGATAGAGTTACAATGACCTGTTTACTATATCTTGATAATAGGATTCTGGACTCTCTGCCATTGTCCATGCCCGCAATAGTGGACATATGACTGAATATGAAGAACTATATGTTAGCAATGATATTAATTTTACGCGGGGGGGGGGGAGGACGGGATTGGGGAGATGATAAGGGATTATGGAACTGTATCATAAAATGATAGCAATAATAATAAAATGTGGGAAAAGCAAAGATTGTAAGAATTTCATCTTTTTCTTTGCCTTCATCTGTAAGGAGGCCTAATTGCCAGTAGATGGCACCATATACATGAGCTATAGCAAAGGCACACATAGAGACACGTACTGTGGGTAGCCATGATGCATGAAATCAGTGTGAATCTGAGCAGTAGTGGTGGCAGCTGACACATAATCTCTGCCTGAAAAGGAACTGCAAGAGTCTGATGACAGACAATTCTTTTGTCTCTGAGATATGCCTCCCACAGTCTTGGGTGTTTTTTGACCAGCAGTCCCCAACACTCCTCAGGGCCATGACAATGGTGTAGCTTGGCTGCAGAAGCACCAGAGACAAATTGGTGAGGGACGTCCATTTATTGGAAAGATCAAACAAGCATATATACAATGGAGGGGGAAGGCAGAAGGGTGGTCTCAATAGTACTCCCACCCTACACTGTTATTGTACCTCGCCAGTAGGCATGCCTATCTCTCTGGACACTCTAACCAAGTCACCAGTTACATTCTGTAAGCAGCGTTGGGAGCTTAATGTTTTAGGCCATGTGCAGGTAGACCAAGGTAAGCTAGCACCTGGGCTGAAAGCTATGCCTTTGTGTATGATCATTACATGTGACTGGTAAACAGGATGAAGGTTACATTTCACTTCTTAGAGTTGCTTATCAGGGAAATTCTAGCACAGCTTCGCAGGGATAGAGAGATTAGGATACAGCCTGCTACTCGGGATGTATGCCCAGTGAACAGGCCAAGATGGAGTCTCTGATAGCTGAGGCCACTGCCAGGACTTTGCCTTGGAGACACAGTGTGCCATGTGCTTATGGCATCCTGCATGGAATAAGCAGGCAGAAATGCAGGAGAGATCTCCCATACTTATTATTCAAGGAGAGACAGTAGCCAAACAGGATCCACATTTGGCCAGATAGCACAAGAGAATCTTGCCTCTGCACAAGATTCATCCTTCAAATCTGGGTCTTTATCACTACAACTGCCACATGCATCAGTCCATATCTGTGATTCCAATATAATTCTGTAATAGGATGAGAATTTTGAGATTCTATAAAAGATAAATGTGTGAATGACAAAGATGATATTTCAAACAAGTGTTAACACACTGAGCATTTAGTATCAACATTAAACTTGAAAGCAGCATTCACATTTACCACCTCACAACAAAGGGAGATGACATACAAATTGCATCTTAATTATTTTAGCAACAAATAACCTCACTTCTGAAATAAAATGATACTCCTCATGTTTATTAAACACTGGCTGAGACTTTCAAAGTATGTTTCCACATCCATTGCCCTTTTACAATGTTTTGTATTTGCACTTTTACTAATGGTTGTTTTTTGATTCACTTTATAAGCTCCGACAGACAATAATAACAGGTTTATGGTAGCTACTCTTTCTATTTACATGCTTTTGTAGTGCTGAGATCTGTGACTTTGCTAACGATTGACTTTTCAGTCAATGCAGTAGGTTTGCCCATTTTTGTGAATACGCTAATTACTGAAGTATATATGCTTTCCAATGTGCTCAAAATGCTGGTGTATGAATTTTAACACACATGTAATACATCCATGCTTTCCCATGTGAATTCTGATGTCTAATAAAGCTTGACTGCTTGTAACAGGATTTTCAACCCACTACATTCGTGTGCTTCCTATCCTGTATGGATCCCCTGATGTCAAATGAAACCTGACTGGTAAGTAAAGGCTTTAAGATACACACTGCATTCGTAAGGTTTCTGCCCTGTGTGGATGCTCTGAAATATGATTAGGTGTGACATGAGAAAAAGAAAAAGAAATTTTTGGTGTTGCTGTATACACTGGAATGGAAACTAAAATGGCATTAAATTACAAAAGCAAATCACAGAAGCGATCTGCAGTAGAAAAGTCAATGAATACATTTTTGATCATTTATCTAATAATCCTTATTTCTGAAGCCATCATCAGCATTATCTTGAAATATACATGGCAAGCTGAAGAAAAATGGGATGAGCCTTGGTATAACCAAAAAACAGAACATCAGAGAAATAGTAGTAAGATTCTGAGATTTATTTCAGACTTTCTTGCTTTTCTGGTACTCTACAATTTCATCATTCCAATTTCATTATATGTCACGGTTGAAATGCAGAAATTCCTTGGGTCATTTTTTATTGGTTGGGATCTTGATCTTTATCATGAAGAATCAGATCAGAAAGCTCAAGTCAATACTTCTGATCTCAATGAAGAGCTTGGACAGGTGGAATACGTGTTTACAGATAAAACGGGTACACTGACAGAAAATGAGATGCAGTTTCGAGAATGTTCAATTAATGGCACAAAATATCAAGAAATCAACGGTAGACTTGTACCTGAAGGACCAACACCAGATTCTCCAGAAGGAAATTTATCTTATCTTAGCAGTTTATCTCATGTTAACAATTTTTCCCATCTTGGAACCAGTTCCTCTTTCCAAACCAGTCCTGAAAATGATGCTGAACTGATTAAAGAACATGATCTCTTCTTTAAAGCAGTCAGTCTCTGTCACACGGTGCAGATCAGCAGTGTTCAAACCGATGGCATTGGTGATGGTCTCTGGCAGTCCAGCCTGGCCCCATCCCAGGTGCAGTACCATGCCTCTTCCCCAGATGAAAAGGCACTAGTGGAAGCTGCTGCACAAATTGGTGTTGTATTTGTCGGCAATTCTGAAGAAACTATGGAAGTTAATACCCTTGGAAAACTGGAAAGGTACAAACTGCTTCATATCCTGGAATTTGATTCAGATCGTAGGAGAATGAGTGTAATTGTTCAGGCACCTTCAGGTGAAAGGCTTTTATTTGCTAAGGGAGCTGAATCATCTATTCTCCCCAAATGTATAGGAGGAGAAACAGAAAAATGAGAATTTATGTAGATGAATTTGTTTTGAAAGGACGAAGAACTCTATGTTTAGCCTATAGAAAATTTACACCAAAAGAATATGACGTAATAGACAGATGCCTGTTTGAAGCTAGGACTGCCCTGCAGCAGCGGGAAGAGAAGTTGGCAGATGTCTTCCAGTTTATAGAGAAAGACTTGGTATTACTTGGAGCCACAGCAGTGGAAGACAGACTACAAGATAAAGTTTGAGAAACTATTGAAGCATTGAGAATGGCTGGCATCAAAGTGTGGGTGCTCACTGGAGATAAACATGAAACAGCTGTTAGTGTGAGTTTATCATGTGGACATTTTCATAGAACCATGAACATCCTTGAGCTTACAAACCAGAAGTCAGACAGTGAATGTGCTGAGCAGTTACGGCAGCTTGCCAGAATTACAGAGGATCATGTAATTCAGCACGGGCTAGTAGTGGATGGAACCAGCCTGTCTCTTGCACACAGGGAGCATGAAAAGCCATTCATGGAAGTTTGCAGAAATTGTTCAGCTGTGTTATGCTGTCGTATGGCGCCATTGCAGAAAGCAAATGTAATAAGACTAATAAAAATCTCCCCTGAGAAACCTATTACCCTGGCTGTTGGGGATGGTGCTAATGATGTCAGTATGATACAAGAGTCAAATGTTGGAATAGGAATCATGGATAAAGAAGGACGACAGGCTGCAAGGAATAGTGACTATTCAATAGCTAGATTTAAATTTCTCTCCAAATTACTTTTTGTTCATGGTCATTTTTATTATATTAGAATAGCAACCCTTGTATAGTATTTTTTTATAAGAATGTGTGTTTTATCACACCCCAGTTTTTATATCAGTTCTACTGTTTGTTTTTTCAACAAGCATTGTATGACAGCATGTATTTAACTTTATACAATATTTGTTTTACTTCCCTACCTATTCTGATATATAGTCTTTTGGAACAGCATATAGACCCTCATATATTACAGAACAAACCTACCATCTATAGAGACGTTAGTAAAAATCGTCTCTTAAGCATTAAAACATTTCTTTATTGGACCATCCTGGGTTTCAGTCATGTCTTTATTTTGTTTTTTTGGATCCTATTTTCTAATGGGAGAAGACACATCTCTGCTTGGAAATGGCCAGATGTTTGGAAACTGGACATTTGGCACTTTGGTCTTCACAGTCATGGTTATTACAGTGACAGTAAAGATGGCTTTGGGAACTCATTTTTGGACATGGATCAATCATCTTGTTACCTGGGGATCTATTATATTTTATTTTGTATTTTCTTTGTTTTATGGAGGGATTCTCTGGCCATATTTGGGCTCCCAGAATATGTACTTTGTATTTATTCAGCTCCTGTCAAGTGGCTCTGCTTGGTTTGCCATAATTCTTAAGGTTGTCACATGTCTCTTTCTTGATATCGTAAAGAAGGTATTTGACTGACAGCTCCATCCTACAAGTACTGAAAAGGCACAGCTTACTGAAACAAATTCAAGTATCAAGTGCGTGGACTCCCTGTGCTGTTTCCCAGAAGGAGAGGCAACGTGCACATCTGTTAGAAGAATGCTGGGATGAGTTACAGGAAGATGTAGTCCCGCCCCCCTCAGCAGATCATGGAGTGCCTTGGATCCTTTCTATACCAACGACAGGAGCATCTTGACTCTCTCCACTATGGACTCACCTACCTGTTAAAGGGTCAGTAGCACTCTGTGGGAGCCATTTCACCTGCCAGGCTAAAATTCAGTATTGGCCATCCTGTGAATGGCCACACTTGCTCTGAAATCTCTTGCTGAAACTTCAAGTAGTTCATCCCCACACAGAGTTAAAGTGACAAACAAACAAAACATTAACGTGAATCCCTCGTATTCCACCTTGACCTTCAACGTGTCACAGTGTGTGAATAAAGAGACAGTTCCTGTCTCTGTCTGGATTTGTCCCTTGTGCTTGAGGGACTCCTAATGGCATTTCAGGATGTTGCTGAGGCCACTTTATTTTAATATCAAGAAAGTGGAAAAAAATAACTTATGTGTATTTTTTAGTGTTAGCTTGGTTATTGGCTATTTAAATCTGCTTCTATAAATTATTCTGAAAGTTTGTCTCAAGAACTCTGTTTTTTTAATTAGAGTTATATTTGAAGATTTCATGAGAAAAGTGAACATGAATGGTAAGGAATTTTGGTCCCTCCCTGGCCTGTATTGTTGATTCAGTAGCCTTTGTAAGTTAGCAGACGAATATAGAAGAACGCATTTCCAACCATTTTTTACTACAGTCTGGGCAGTCAATTTATACTGATAAATTTCTCAACAAGCACTGTAACACAGCCACAAAAGCGAAAATCATATAAATGCAAGGGATATAGACTCTCTTATATAGAAATCAGGAATCAGGTCCAGTCACCAGATTTCAAATTGATGTTTACTATTTTTGTGATAGAATATGAAGAACCCATAGTGGGCAAATTGGAAACCCTTAGCATATTATTAATTTAATGTGTTATCATTGAATCTTTTGCATGCTCTAAGTATCTAAACTTGCTTTATTTTCTTTATCTGGAGTTTCTGTTCCTTTCATGATAATGTAAAGTTCAACAGTATCAATAAAAATAGTTTGGACAGTATTTTAATATCTGAAATATTTTTGATTATACAAATTAAAATATAGACAATCAAATCAATAAAAAGAGAAAAAGTCTCTATGGCTAGTCTAGAAAAAAAAAAAAAGGAAAAAGAAAATTTCTATCCTGTGTGGACCCTCTGATGTCTAAACAGGTGTGGCTTTTGACAAAAGTCTTTTCCACACTCACTGCTTTCATAAGGTTTTACCCCAGTGTGGATTCTCTGATGGCTAATGAGGTGTGGCTTACGAGTAAAAGCTTTTCCACACTCACTACATTTATAAGGCTTTTCCCCAGTGTGCATTCTTTGATGTCTAATGAGGTGTGGCTTAAGAATAAAAGCTTTCCCACACTCACTACACGCATAAGGCTTTTCCCCAGTGTGGATTCTCTGATGATGAAGCAGGCCTGACAGGTTGGTAAATGCTTTTCCACACTCACTACATTTATAAGGTTTTTCCCCAGTGTGGATTCTCTGATGTTCTCTCATGTTTGACTTACGAGAAAAAGTTTTTCCACACTCACTGCATTCATAAGGTTTCTCCCCAGTGTGGATTCTCTGATGATGAACCAGGCCTGACAGGTTGGTAAATGCTTTTCCACACTCACTACATTTATAAGGTTTTTCACCACTGTGGATTCTCTGATGTACAAAGAGGTATGACTTACAAGAAAAGCATTTACCACACTCACTGCATTCATAAGGTTTTTCCCCAGTGTGGATTCTCTGATGTTCTCTCATGTTTGACTTACGAGAAAAAGTTTTTCCACACTCACTGCATTCATAAGGTTTCTCCCCAGTGTGGATTCTCTGATGTGCTCTCATGTTTGACTTACGAGAAAAAGTTTTTCCACACTCACTGCATTCATAAGGATTTCCCCCAGTGTCAATTCTCTGATGCCTAATGAGAGATAACTGCTGCTTAAAGGCTTTTCCATGCTCAGTGCATTTATACAGATTCTCCGCACTTTCAAGGATCTGATCTCTAATGAGTTCTGACTTCTGGTCCATGTTTTCTTTACATTCATTGGACACATACAAATTATTTCCTGTGTCAGTTCTGTGTTTGGTGCTAAGGCAAGATTTATAGTAGCCAACATGAATTTCTTCTCCCATACTGACAGGTTGCTGATTCCATAGGTCTTTGCTATAAACTTGCTCACACGTAAGGACTATCTTCTTCCCGCTGAAAGTTTTCTCTTTCCCATTGTGTTCAAAGGACTGCTGACAAATGTGGATCTTGTCAAGATGACTGAGATTTTTCTCACTCTCGAGGTTGTTCTCAGGAACATTAGAGTCATGTTTTTTCTCAAATGGCATTTCATCAGGCTTCCTGTGGGATAAGAGGATTTAAAATAAACTATGATGTCATTTCCCCTCTCCTTTCAAAAGGCATTAGATCTCTCAGCCCCTCCTGGGAGTTGCTTTCCTCCTCCCCTCTTCCAAGTTCAACTGGTCCATTAACAAGTAGAAGTTTGGTCTGCAACTGGTTTCCATTTTCTGTTTCTATACTACGTTAAAGGAAAGATTCACTGAGTTTTCACAGTAACATTTGGTTTGGTGCACAATATGGTACTTGAAAAAGAATTTTGGCTCTTATACAAGACCTAGGAGGGTAGACTTAGCAAAGAGAAGACTCCACATGTTTTGTACTAAACCTGTGGATATGACCTTAGTACCACATGCCAATGAAAAAACTGGAACACACCCACGTACCCACATAATCTCCAGCAACTACCTAGCTCTGGCAAAATTTCCAGATGGAGTGTATTAGAAAAGACGATAGCAGACAGCAACATGAAGTGCAATTGGGGGAAGACTAGACTGAGCCAGGCTGCAACACATGCTGGTGGAAAATGAGTTGAGGCAAGCCATGGCAGTCAGAGGGATGTTGGTGCTGGACTCATGATGCCTGCATGCAGGAGATCCAGTGGGGCTCTGGTAGCCTTGTCTGGGTTCTTGGGCACACCTGTATGACGAGCCCAGTTTATGAACACCAGCAGCTGTGTGGTAGTTTCTGTTGCCTGGCTTGAGTCCTTGGCTGGTCAGTGCAATGGGTCCTTGGTCTGCAAGTCCTGGTACTGGAGCATGTGGCAGGCCTCAGGTCACCTGGCTTGGATACTTTACATGCCTGCATGGTGGTGCTAACTCAGTGAGTGCTGAAGGTGGGACTCCACTGGGGCAGGATCGGCTGGCTCAGGTCTTGTAAGAACTGGTCCTCCTCAGTTGAAAAGGAGTATTAGACAACTGGCCTGGATTCACCTGGAGATAGCAGCCCACTGAGGCCTGGAAAGCACATCTGGACCATCCAAGAGAAAGGAGGCGAGAACAGATTGAATAACTACCCCAGCTAAATGATGACACCAAATATCTGGGTGGATGGAGATTCTAAGGTCAACCATGATGACCAATGAACATTGAAAGGGTTCCCTCTTGCTTGAATCAGTGAGATGGACCTCATTTCAGAGCTATCAGAACCATCAGGAAAGAAACCTTGGAGTGTGTGCCACATTGACACCCTGGTTTGGTCTCAGGGGTCCAGGACCCATCCTTAAGTACTAGGATGGTTGGGAGGCCTGGTATAGCTTCTCTGAATATCATTTAACCATGACCTAAAACAGGAGGGAAAAATAGAAAATTTGGAAATGATTACACCAATTTCTCTTTAATGATCTAATAGAATCACACACACACATTGAGTGCAATTAAATCACACACACACACACACACAAAATACACAGAAACCCAACTCATGAAAAAAAATGACTACATTGCATTCCCCTAGTTCCACCCACCTCATGATGTTGGAGGTGGGTGGAGCCTAAGCCTGTCTTGTTCCCAACATATCCACTCCCAATGTACTCACCCGGAAGGGCAAAGCCTTTTGAGCCCAGGCAGGCCAAGGCCCAACTCATCACATAGTCATACTGGCTGAAACTAGGGTCACAAACATGGACTCCATCTGGCTTGGGTCTTCCCAGGAAGAGCAAATGTATGTGAGGACAGAGAAAATGTGTAGTTTCTACTCAATACCAGTTGATCACATTCAGGAGGTGGATACAGAAGCTGGATCTCAAAGTCATACTTTTAAAATTATCTTATTGCAGACAAAGAAATTTTATTTGCAAAGTGGTCATGTGAGCAAGAGAAGAGGAGGGAAGAGGAAAGCACTTCTCGAGAGAAAACTAGGTGGTGGTGTGCTTCTTGAAATTGGAGACACCCAGTTAGTAACTCTTGATTGTTGTTCCAACCCTTGGTTACTGAAGCAGGATGTATAACTGGAAAAAAGGACCCACTCCTCTGTTTTCTCCCAATTCCTGTGAATCTCATCCTTCTACCTGATTCCACACTCCTACTTCTCTATACAAGTTACGAGAATCACTGAGCTTTCCTGGTAACATTTGGTTTGGTGCACAAAATTGGACATGAGAAAGACTGCTGGCTCTTATACAAGAGCTATGTGGCTGGACTTAGCAAAGAGAAGACTCCACAAGGTTTCTACTGAGCTGTTGGAAATGACCGTTGGCACCCCATGCCTCTGCACAAATATGAACACACCCACCCACCCATGTAACCTCCAGTCACTGTCTAGCTCCAGCTAAACTTCCAGACTGATTGTGCTTTTAGCAGTTCGGGGGGTGGGTGGAGATAAGAAGTGTAACAGTTTAGGACTTTTGAGGCTTTAATCACCAACTATCTATTTTCACTTTTGCTATCACATCAATTTTCATTTTAGAAGCAAGTCTCTGGGTCATTATACTTGGGAAACTGTTGGAGGATTGACAGAAGAGGCCAATTTTCTGCATGGCTTGAAACTTCTTCAGTGGATCCTGGATCCTAACCACCTGACATGGGACCAAAGTTCTGGGCTCCTTCTTCAGGCTACACATTGGTTTATCCTCATTAGAGGAGGGATGAGAGTCCAGGCACCACCAAATATCCACTTTGGTTTGAGTTTTTATTGTTGAGATGTATTTATATTTACTGGAAATTCAGATGTACAGAGAGGATATGAGACACATAGGAAGATCTTCCAAATGCTGATTCACATCCCCAAAATACACAACTGCCAGAGCTGAGCTGCTTCAAAGCCACAAACTAGGAGCTTCTTCTGGGTCTCCCACACAGATGTTTAGTCATAAGCATGTGGGGTGTCCTCCACAGCTTTCCCAGATCACAGGCTGCTGAGGTCCATGGAGTGGGTGTGAAAGACCCAAAGGTGTGAAGGGAACTTTTCCATTGCAGGCAAGGATGCAAGGAATTTCCCACTGCCTGGCAAGGCCCAGCCTGACATGAAAAGCTGTTCCACCTCCTTTTGCATAGACACTGGGCAAGCCCACAAAGATTTCTGTAATTAGGCATTGTCTGCCACTGTGGAGATGTTTTTACAATTAGTTTGAGCTTGGAAGGTGATGCTATTGATAGCGTCTTAGCAAAAGGGCCTTTTACTATTCCTGCTCCCTCAGCTGCCCCTCTGATCATATGAAAGTCAAGGGTGTTAAGTCCCTATATGTTCCAGGAACCTATGCTTAGGGTTGTCCTCCCACATTGACCATGTGCTAATCAAGGATGTTAAGTCCCTAGATGTAGTGGAAATCTATACTTTCCCTCTTTCCTTAATCTTTAGGTCCCTCCTTCTGTGATGCACTTCCTCCCTGAAATGATTCAAGACTAAGTTATAGCATCAGAATTGTAATAGGAATGTATTACTGATTGACATGAACCATTTATTGAGAAATTCATGACCACAGGATTAGGACAGCTGATATCCTGCCTCAAGGTGAAACACTTGGAAGAACTATCCTTAGGAATGCCTGCTTGACCAGGTCTGAAAAGTGGATGCCAGAATTTGTGAAGGCTTCTGTATAAATAAAGAGGGCAGCTTTCTCCCCGTGTCCACTATGATCCTGAAACTGCAGTATCCCATTTATTTTCTATGCCTACTCTACGCATCTTTCTTAAGTTCTGAACTT